AGGTTCAGGTCAGGGAACTGGGATGGCCATGGCAGAAGTTTCATTTTGTGCTCAGTGACCCATTTTTGTGTTGATTTTGATGTTTGTTTTGGATTATTGTCCTGATGGAAGAACCACAGCCCATTATAAAATTTCTAACAGAGGCAATTGGGTTTAGATTTTTTATCTGTTGGTATTTGATAGAATCCATGATGCCATGCCTCTGAACAAGATGTCCAGGACCTCCGGCAGAAAAACAGGTCCACAACATTAAAGATCCAGCAGTATATTTAACCGTGGGTAACGGGGTACTTTTTTTATCCCTGTTTGTACTAAACCCATCTGGTGGGTTTGCTGCCAAAAAGCTCCTTTTTTTGTTGTTGTTGTTTCATCTGACCATAGAAGCCAATGCCATCTGACATTCCGGTAACACTTTATAATAACTTTCATTAATAAACCAATAATCAAAAGAAAACATTAATATTAACATTATTTATTACACGGCTCTGTGGAATACTTGATTCTGATTGGTCAGTCGCGACATTCCGAGGTATGCTATCCCTCGATAATAACGCAGGCTCATCCGGGTAACTGAAGTCAGCGCCCTACTCTTGCTAGGAACGGTTTTTTTCTTGGTGGAAGCTTTGCGTTTGTTTAGCTAATAAAATATTAAAACTCGATTCAAAATGGTGTACAATTATTTAATTATGTCATCCTGGTATCGCGGACACACTCTCTGTTTCATACAAACGCAGCTGCTGCCATTTTGCTACGATTGTTTTGTACGCTGTAATGGATTATAAGAGAACTAACAAACTGGTAAGGTTTTAAAACATTTTCGTCTTAATTCTTTTATTGCCTTACTTATTTCTGTGGTGAAATGTTGTGTAATAAGTGGTTTGACTGCACCGTTTCCCTTAAATGTCTGTCTAGTTTGAATTTGCCGCTTGCTCGCAACTGCTGTCTTCACGGAAGCTTTGCGTTCAAATATTTCAACTCAAATCAATATTTTGCGTCTAATTATTGACTTATGTGGCAAGTAGCCGTGTAATAAGCGGGATAATATACATCCAGCCGGTTGTTATCTCAGAATAAACCCCTTCAGGCTGATACAAGATCACCCTGTCGGGGTTTATTCTGAGATAACAACCGGCTGGATGTACATTATCCCTTACTTATACTATAAGTAAATATTTCTCACTACTCCATATTGGAGACATTTTTTTCCTGACCCTTGCCACAATGCATTCTGGGATTGCCTTGTCAGTAAATAACAGATCATTATTTAATGTAAATTGAAATGCCATTAAACTTTCAATTCATATGATCATACATTTTTTTTTAAATCTTCAAATGATTTTGACAGATGGTTTACAATGATTAAAAGCTTCATTAATTAATCACTAACAAACATTATATAATGCTTAACGGATCATTAGGTAATGTTTAGAAATGTCATTAAACTTTCAATGCGTTTTAAAAATCTACAAATGATTTTAACAGAAATTATACAATGATTACAAGTGTACTTTTGAATACTTACAAATGTCATTAAACTTCAGTTCACATATTAGCTAATGCTCATTTTTACATGTACAAATGTTGTGGAAAATATAGTTAATTGGTCATTTTAAGCACTTCACAAACCATTCATACTAATATATTCAGTATATATATAGTCTGTAATGGTCATATATTTGGTCTTTGTTTGTTGTGTAGACTTTACTATTTGCACATCTTAAATAATTTAAATAATAAGATTAAATAATTTAATCATTTAAATTATTTGTTAAATGTTTTTGCAGTACCCAATCTAAAGTGGAAACTATTCATCAATTGTAAATGTTTATAAACGTTTACTAATCATTAGTACCTTTATAAGCAGTCATTTTGATGGCAAAAAGTGTCCCAAATGACCGGAATTCACCCTATTTTCACAGCTTTACAAATCATTGAATAATTATTTGTTCATGTTTTTGCAGTACCCAATCTAAAGTTGAGACTATTCATCATTTGTAAATGTTTATAAACATTTACTGTATTTTTTTAGTATCTTTATTGGACTTTTAGTTACTGTAACAACGTTTGTGTAAAGGGTGGTTAGTTGCTTGGTAAAGACATAACACAGTAAACACACATTGTACTTATATTAGTATACTATTGTCAGGGCTCTACAGTGCGACCATTTCAGTCGCATTTACGACTGAAAACTACTGCGCGCGACTATGAAATTTTTTTTAGGAGCACCAGTGCGACTGACCCGATCATCATCATATTTGTGATTGCGATCAGGGGAGCTTCAAAGGTTTCTACGTGTTTTTGCAGCATTGAGTAATGTATCACAGACATATCTCACGAATCCTTTCATAAGCAAAGTGTAGACAGGGTGTAATATAGACACACGTCCTCAGATTTGTAACATCTTTAGTTGATTGGAACCTCTTAATTATTGCCCTGATGGTGGAAATGGGGATTTTTTATGCTTTAGCTCTTTTTTAACAGCCACTTTCTATTTTATGAAGCGCAACAATCTTGTTCTGCACATCAGAACTATATTCTTTGGTTTCACTCCTTTTGATGGATTACTAAGGGAATTTGGCCTTTGTATTCCTCATATTTATAATCCTGTGGAACAGGAAGTCATGGCTGGACAATTTCATGCTCCTAGTCACCCTGGTGTGCTAAAATTTTTAAAAATATGAATGGGAATATACTTCAGAGATATTTTACTAAGAATTTCTAGGGGTGCCAGTAATTATTGCCAACATGCACTGGAGAAAAACATTTATTTTATCATGAGATTTTCAAAAAGATCAACAATGCAGTATAAAACATTGGTATTTACAATACACAGCGTGTTTTTAATCATATTTTTAGGGGGGACAACCCTCAGATAGGGGGGTCCTGTCGTCGTCCACCCCCCCGACCCCCCCGGGATTTCCGCCTATGACTGTATATACATACAGCCTAGCGATTTGCATGTGAACAGCGTACAGTGACACTATAACATTAAAAATTTCTATTTAAAATGGTTTGCTTACCTCTAATTGTATACATGTGTCATGTGTTATCTCGCTGTCATTATAGTGATGCCAGCAGCCAATGATGTGTGAATATGGCTCAACAACTGTTTCCAGAAGACAGATGGTATATGCCACACATGTGACCACCTGCATTCCCAAACAAGCCTTGAGCTGTTGAGAAATAAAACGACAAACACACACTCAGGAATGCTTATTTCTAAGTGCCTCTTCAGTGATACATTCAGAGTGGGAACTCAGAAATTCACTGGATAGGCTACATTCTGCATATAGTGCATAACTAGCATGCATGGTACATATTTTTAATAATATTTCATAGTTTTTGCTGTGTCCAGATTAGGGATGGAACGATTACCGGTTTGACAATAAACCATGATAAAATTCCCCACGGTAAGTAGTCTGGGCTCTTAAAAACTTACTGTTGGCAGGTGAAGTTTCTGCGCTGCTATGGCCACACTGCCAGAAATAATGCCCTGTTTAAAGGAAACATAGTGGTAAGTCATATTGAAGGATATTTTTGTAGACCTCTACACAAATGCCAAATAAAAAAAGCTGAAATGCTGTAACATTTATACTATCAGAAATTCTACCTTTAAATATAAAATTAATAAAAACTACATTATTACATATTATTACTACATTTTTACATTATTATTACATACAAGTTACATTAAATATTTAAATTATATATATATATATATATATACTAGGGGTGCAACGGTTCAACTTACTCAAGGTTCGGTTTGTATTACGGTTTTAGAGTCACGGTTTCGGTACGGTTCGGTATGTGCTATGTTAAAGTGTGACAAACATGCAAAAAAATAAGAAATCAGGAAGGGGGCCAACACTTTTTCACACCACTGTATATATATATATATTAGGGGTGCAACGGTTCAACTTACTCAAGGTTCGGTTTGTATCATGGCAACAGCACGAATAAATAAAATAGAGCAAAGATACAAATAAAATAAACAGTGCTTTTCAGGTTTTTTAGGTATAGGTCTAACATTAGTTTTTAGGTACAGAAATTGAATAATGTAATCAAATGTAAAATAACATTGCATATTTGACTGTATAAATTAAAGATTAATCCTTATTAAAGTTACAGAAGTTATTCAATCAAGAGCAGTGAGTGATTTCCATGTTGTTGCGGTTTGATTAATATTAAGAAAGTGCTGTCACTTTAAGACAATGCACGGATCCAGTACACTGACGGGGCATTTTGACATAATTCTTGTGTGATTTTGTCCATTCAAGCACAATACTTCAAAGAGAGCGTAATATTTGCAGGGCTTAAAGTTCTCTGGCACCGTGCCGGATCTCCGCCGTGCAGCGTTTGGCAGCGGAAAAAAATAATCCTACATTTAAAAAAAAAAAAACTTGTTGATATCACTTTCGAGTAGGGTTGTGACGGTGAGGAAATTTTCCCACCGGTTAATCGATGTGTGACAACACCGATAATACCGGTATCACCGTGGGGGCAGGGGCTTTTCCTCGCTTTCCTTCGCTTTTAAATAGCTTAAAAGCACCGTGCGCATTTTACTGATACTGTATGTTCAGCCGACTATGTCTGCTAGGATACTCACCAAGACGGGCATTTTGACATAATTTTTGTGTGAATTTGTCCATTCAAGCACAATACTTCAAAGAGAGCTTAATATTTGCGCGCCTTCTGAGACGCGGGTTCACACTCTTCGGATGAGCGCACACACAGATCTTCTGTCTTCTGGCTCTTTAATATTTACACTGGCAAGGCAAGACCGAAACATGCATTATCCGAACTCTAACAAACCACATTACAGATGCATTGTCAGATTTAAGTTGAACCGCAATTCAAACACAATACTTTACCGAGAACCGTTGCACCCCTAATATATAAATATATATATATATGCATGCATGCATGTTAATCAGCTAACAAAATTACCCTTGTTTAAGATCATCAAACAATATGAAAATATTTGTACGTATTGTACAGTTCAAACATATTACAATAAGAACATATAAAATGGACACTTACAACACATGAAATCGCCAGCATGAAGCTGTTTACAATGAATTCAGATAGTCCTACATAAAACGGAATTCTGCAAACAACGAAGAAGACAGTCATCGCGATCTCTGTCACCTGCGGATGAGACAAAAACAAATCCCTCAGTAGATGTGTTTGAGACTAACTTACATTGTATTCTATTTCGATATCAACTTCACGTGTACCCCTAAAATCTTGGGTTCTGCCTCCAGGTATTTGTATTTTTGACTGGGGTTCCTCTGGAAAGTCACTTCCAGTAAGGTTCCAGCCTCGGCCGAGCCGCTCGCGCTCTGGGCTGCAGCTGCAGGAACCTCCGGAGCAACGCCACAAAGCTCTGGCTCCTCGGGTTCAACTTCGCCTGTGTATTTAAAACATCGTCAGAAGTTTTGCATCAGTTCTGGCTCGGTTGGCACAAATACCAGTTTATAAAATACACATTATTTGTAAGATATCTTACTGGTCATTTTCTTCTGCTGGTCTTCAGTGTATGCGTTCAGAACAATCGCTATTGTATCGCGGCCAAAACCTCTTAAAAAGACTCCGTTGTGGGGTTTTCGGAATGCGTCCGCCCCTCTCCCATCCGGAGGAGCATGAAGAGTTCCTACAGTCTTTCGAAATTACAGCTGGAAAGGCTGAACTTGAAACCACAGACGTCTTTTTTACAGTGCGTTTATCCTCAATACATTTTTAAAGTTTGCAAAAAACGCTGTCAGCGTACACGTCTGAGCTGTATGTAGGCTATATAAAAACATTAGAAAACACACAGAATTGTAAACGAAAATAGAAGGCTATTGAAAGAGAAAGACAACTTTACGGTGTATATATTGATAGCCTAAATGAGATGAGACAACGAAGGCGTAGCTGTATTCAGTTCCTCTCTTTATTTTTTGACAAATGTAAACTGTTTTTCCCTGCGTCCACTACTGTGTCTTTCCTGACCTACGCTGGTTTCAAATTCCCTGGCAGTTCCCAAAGTAAAGATGCAACCTCGCACGCATGAGCTCTCGAGCGCCACTCCTCTATTACATGTAGATTCGATTCTCTCGAGACGTACATCATTACTAAAATCAAAAACATATTTTAGGGGGTATTTTTCTTTTGATCTATGTTGCATATTTGTCTGTTTTATTTATTTATAAGAAAGTTATTACCCAAAATATAAACTTTGCTAACTTTTATTCTACACTAAGTAAATAAATGAGGCACGTAAATAGATAAGTAAATAAATGCTAGCAAATGGTATTTTAATTTAAAATCAAAATTAATTTCATAACATATGACAACGTCATTTTTAACTTATAAGCAGGCGCGGCGATTTGTAACTTGCAAAATAAGGTTGATAGTGGCTGCATGTGTGACATCACTGTACAGATGACCTTTATCAATGCCACTGTCACGCAATGTGGCTTCTAGCAACAAGCATATTTAAATAAGCAATTCTTCATAACAATAGGCCTAAATAGGATTATAAATGGCTTAAAAGTTAGTTTACGTACTAATACATTTCACTTATATTTATTGATAGGTGAAATCAATAAAAATGATCTTCTATAATCCCTTGCTTTTCTGCTTTTGCTTGCTTTCCATGCAACACACTGACAAAAATAGAGCTTGTGTTTTTCTCTTATCAGGAGCGCTCGTTCCACAGAACTCATGTGAACTCGCCCTTACGAAAAAGAAGTTTATTCAAGTGTGCTATTAGTATACTCGGTCATGCGAACAAAAAAACTCAAATTTTCATTGGTTCCACTTATACACAAGGTAATCCACATGAATTTATTTAATGCAGGTGAACTGCTTTTCACATAACAAAACAACGCTGTGCAAGGTGAGAAAGACAACAGAACCAAATTTAAACGTGTCCCCATGATAATGCCTTGCTTGCTATATTTTCTATTTAATGCTGCATATTAAATATAAAATAATCGTAATCACTGATTTTTGAACAAATTATTTTTTTATTTGTAACCAAAATTACACATTACGCCCAATATTCAGTGCATAAATGCAGCTTCAGATCACAATACAGTATAGTAAAGCTCTTCAGGTTTAAAAAAAAAACAGGAAAAAACATGCACAACAGAATGAATACTATAGGACACAACTGCTTTTAAAACCCTTTCTACTATTAATTACACAATGTAAGCAACTGAATTCCCTTTTATAGGTTTTAAGGCCCCTTTGGAAAGAATAAAGTACTGGACATATTTATCAGATTAACAATGGCTTATCAGCCTATCACAGAAAATGCATTAGATGTGTGACAGATAGTGAAGAGCACTTATAGAAAAGAGCACTTACACTTAAGATGGATCAACAGTAGAGTATGCACATCCTTCTGTAATGTCAGTATAAGGTTAGGTTCTTTAAAAAAGGTAATTAGTATACAAATGCAGGCTAAATAAGGCATGTACTAAGCCAATTGTTTGTCTGGTTCTATTATGATGTAGAACTTGTGATGGCAACTTCAACTTGTGTTAGGATGTAGCATACTGTCCCTGCATAGTAAACATGGTTTGGACAGATCCTAGGCCATCCATGTTCATCAGTATACATAAGTAACATTCACTTAAGACATACATAACAGCATTAAGATTCCTGTAAACTGGAATTGCTGGTATTCTCATAAATCACGACTTGTAGGCCTCTATAGTGACTGGTACCCATCACTCCTCCGTTTCCTGCTGATGAGGTAAGCAATGACTACAATGACGATGAGTATGATGAGGATTATGCCCACGACGATGGCAACGCGGTAGTCATGTTGATCAGCCTTGCATACTTCAGCTGTTGTACAAACACAAACAGAGCACAATGAACTTGTATCTCATTGTAAGAAATGAAAATGAAGTCAGTATTGTAGTTGAAAAAATTTAAAGCTGGTATACACTACACGACTTTTAAAATCTGAACAGATTTTAAAACAATAGGCATCATATGCTTACTGACTTTGTAAATGCTTATAGAGGAAAAAATGGCCATCATGCACTAAACAACCGAGGACTTACAAGTCATTCTGAACACAACAAACTCACGCAGAAATGTGTGTCATTGCTTGGAGATACATGACAAATGAAAACAATATCCCCATGTCCGAATATGCCCACTTCCATACAATATAGTAGGTGAAAAACAGTATGTGAGCCGAGTAGTATTTTCAAATTCGCAGTATTCATAAAACAGTATGCAAAAAGTACATTGATGACCTACTACTTCTGGTGAGATTCTGAGAAGTGCATCTGATGGACACTTTACTAGCGCATTAGGCCACGGAAGTGGATTTGTGAATGGCAGTGTAGCAATGCAAATGACAATGTAATAGGATACATGACAGCGACAACATGGCGGATGTAGTTTGTTTAAATGGTCACAAAGCAAGTTTTAAACCAAATGTAGTATCTATTATACACTATTCAATTTTGGACACAGTGTATGTGTTCTAAAATTAGCTCAAAATATGAAACATGTTTGATATCCTCCGAACTGGATGGAATTGTAAGCATGTGCCATCATAAACTGCATGTATTTCTGTGAAATCTGTCCAAATCCCACATACTGGCAGTGACTTTCGGCAGCTAGCATTGATTCGTCCAGACTGCAAAATGGGGCAAAAGTTGTGCAGTGTATTCCAACCTTAAATTGCAGTAACTGAATAGATACACAACAGATATACATAATACTTATATGCAGGTGGTCAGTAACAACTGCTCATTTTCAGTTGTGTTGTAGGTAATATTTTAATTTGCATGACATTTAAAGCTAACAAATCATGTCAAATAATAATAAAAAAACTAATATGAGTTACATGAAAAAGTAGCAGACTTTCATTTTAAAAAAGCATGCAGGAAATAAGATCCACATTAGTAAAAAAAAATATGTTAGATGGCCTTTGGACTTTATGACAGGCAAGACATCATCTTAGTTTAGAGTCATCTGGCTGGTCTAACCAGCTCTTTTGTATTGCCATGACACTTTTGCTACAATATTTGTAAACAAGCTTTATGAAGTATTTAGGATATAAGGTATACAGTGCATAAAAAGGCAAGGAGTCATAACTTGATGTAGCTTGTAACATAAAGTAGAGGTTACTTAAAGAATAACTGTCATCCACTACAAGGATGGGGTGCTTGAAGATACTGAAGCATCATCACGCTACACTTACGTGGTCCGAATTCATTGTTCTTGAAGTCGAAGGCCTGAAACTTGTTATGGGTCAAGTCCAGACTAACACCATCTCCCATGTACACCGTCTCAGCCTGGCAGGAGTAAGAGTGACCCGGTTCCACAGAAAACAGCTCAAGAGAATCGTTCTTCCCTGAGTAGTCATTTGACTCTTTGTTGAGAACAATAAAAATAATTGGATCAGTGTTGGTATTGATGTGCACAAAATGATTAAAACATTAACCAAGTCTCTCCCTTTTCTTAATCCCATAATTGTGATAATAATAGTCAAAATTATAACCAAACACTTCCACTACGACTCAGTCTTTCTGCAAGGTCAAAGAATTTGCCATTTTTGAATTCAAAATGAAGTGAGGGAAAGACGATTTATTACTGTAACCAAAATGACACTTATACTTCCTTATTCTTCCTCGGCACAATGTGACATTTATTGTTGCCAAACTGGTTGACCCACATGGCCTAGTGTTTGGGCTTGGCAATTTATATCTTTTTGAAAGGATTTTCTGTCTGTCCTAAGAATTCTGTCTTCAGTAGATTATTCTTTATTTAGATACACTCTTTATTTAACTATACAGATAAAAAAAGCTTTGGGAATAAATTGAAGAAAATTGAGGATGTGTGTTGTTGTAGGTGTTTTACAAGGCAAATGGTACTAGTCATATATGGCAGGAAATTTACCTCCTGTTTTGAAGGCATAGGTCAAGTCGTAATCCACATACTCCACATAGACCTTTTTTATCGTCTCATTCTGGAAAGTCAGAAGAAAAGATTATTAGAATGTAAACTGAAATACACAAACACAATAGAATAAGAACCATAATGTATTCCAAAACCATCGCATACATTACAAAACAAATACATGTTTGAAAACCAGAACAAATTAACATACAAATATGTCTGCTACACAATGACAAAAATAGCCTTAATATTGTACACAACAACATAATCAATAAACCTGACCCTTAATGAGTAACAAGTATTATCTATAGAACTGCAGCATACTGATATGATGTTGTTCACCTTACCACAGTCAAACTGATGAGAACACCTGGCACCTCCCTGTAGGATTTATTTGATAAAATGCTGCTGGGAGGTAGCTCAGGTTTCTATCAGACATAAGTTAACAAGTCTCCTCCTCACGTGCCTCAAAGTTCCTGTTTTTTAAACCACACAAACTCAGGTTGTACTGAAAGACACATGAACTTTTTTGCCAAAAAAAGATAACTGGCTAATTTGACTGCAAAACTCTTGAAAATCTTCTAGATAAAAAAAGGTTGTGTTATGAAATCTTTTGTTGCCAGTTAGCACATTTGAAGCATGTCATTTTAAGTAATGAACATTTTGAAAATCCATAAACAGACTTACATTTCTAAATTTCAGGGTAAATTGGCCTTCACTGAATACTATTCTGATAGTAGAGGCTTTGTCCCCACATTCTCCACTGACAGTGGTTTTGTTTTGCTGAACAATGAATGTGCCATTAACCTAGAAAGACAGAAATGTTTCAGAATAAAGGATATTTATATGTAATATGAAAAAATAATGCAGAAGGCAGTGTGAAGGATTCAAGTTGCTTACATATAAGCAGGAATCATATATGGATGTAGATCTGTCACTCCCAACAGAAAACATCTTACCTTGCTGGTGTTCACACGGATCCCAATTGCCATTTCAACCATAATACATACTTTGCCATCTTTACTAAAATTATAACGGCCCACCGCCATGTTGGTGGGTGGTGTTGGAGATGGTATTGGAGTGGTAACTGTGGTTTTTGGCCTGGAGGTTGTTGTATTCGGACTGTGGGTTGTTGTGTTGGGGCTGGGGGTTGTTGTATTCGGATTGTGGGTTGTTGTTTTTGGATTGTGGGTTGTTGTGTTCAAGCCAACGGCCATATAAGCTGAACTATATTCACCTGAGGTGAGAGCTGAGAAGGAGGCAGACAGAGAATGTGAGAAAATTTTTCCCCAAATGTGAGCTACATCTGACAGAACCTTAAGTGACATCCTCAATTAGAAAATTTTTTCATATAAAAAACAAACAAACAATAATTACCTTTATAAAAAAAGAAAAATAGACACTATACACAGAGCCTCCATCTGTTCTGCACATGGAGTGCTATTTACATACATTCACTTCCTCCCTAGCGCGCGCTGTCACAAGTGTACACACGTCCAAATTTCCCAACAGGGAAATGTGATACTTCACTTCTGCCGATTTCACGTGATGTCTGATCGTTAGATTAGCCGCAGAAAAGAAATGTAAGTGCTGACAAGGTGACTGACACTCTCTTTGTTTTTTTTGTTTTTTTTGACAACAAGGTACGCTTGTGTAGCTTCACTTGAGAACTGAAATGCACTTAATTGTCCGTTTTAGATAGGCTATTAAGAGAAGTAAGAGAAAATATACAAAAAATAAAAAAATACAATAGTGTTGAAAGATTACTGAATTGCACTGAACTGTGAGGAACGATTATAATTAAGTATGGTACTGTGTCCGAAAAGGTGCAATAAAACTGAGTGGTTTTTGCAATAAGGAAGTGGTTGTGGACCTATATATAACTGAAACGTAAAATCGAATTGATATTTAAATTTTGACTTTAGGTTTTGTTTTACTTGCGTTGTTTTACCAGCGTATGGCCTTTCTAACATAGAATCGAAACTACGGTGGTTTGCGAAAAGTATGCCAAATAAAAAAAAATCTCTTTCCTGTCTTTTTAAATTAAAATCGTTCTCGTGAGTAAAACCTGGGGTCAGATTTTACATTTGATTTTAGCTTACAGTTATATGTTGGAACACAACTAGCCTACTTCCTTATTGCTGAAAAAAGGTTTTTTTATTGGTTTGCACCTTTTTTGGCCATAGTACAATAATGGAGTATTCTGTCAAGTTCCTTACAGTACAATGCAATTCAATCTTTCAATACTATGGTGTGTCAAAGTACATAACTACCACAGTATTTAACTAATGGTGAACACACGGTAAATGCATATTTCAAATCGAGTAATGCAATGAAATAATCTGCTTTACCTGTTGCAGCAATGCAAAGCGCGAGCAATGATAATCCGTATTTCATTTTCGCCCTTATTGCGATGTACCTGACACAAAAACTCGCTGGATTGGGTGCTCTATCTGGCGTTGAAAGCCTGTCGCACACTGCACTTATTCGCCTGAAACGAAACCACTGATAAAGTGAAGGAAGTCAATCTTTCAACACTCGCTTTGAGTGTTTGTCCAATCACGACTCTAGTGAGGCATTCAGCGTCCCAGAAATTCAATACAGTGACCGAGTTAGATTTGTAGAAAGCGAAAATTAACAGATGTTAGAATTTTGTCACTGTTGTATCTATATTTCTTGTTGGAACATTTAGGCTAGAAGAACTGCTTTTATGAGATATTTTTATCGTGGCAATAATTTTTGAAACAGATATGCATTGATAATCTTGTTTACAAGTTTTCATTCGTTGTTTCATTATATCGCTACCCCCTCATTAAAACGTTTACATATCATGCACTTAAGAAAAATATGATTGATAGACATTACCATGAAATATAACTATGAATAAAAGCGGTTTTATTGTACATGGAAGGGCTACTTAAACTGGGCCGCCATGAGATCAAATCTTTAGGCTACCTCATTTTACTGGATATTTTTGTTTTGCAGAATAAATAAATCATGGCTGACAGCAAATATCATCTTCTACAATGTCAGAAGATTGCATTATATTTCTAGGTGTCATATAAGTCTACGACAAGTCATATCAGCCAGTGCAACCTTAACAATGGGTCATGTGCTGATTCACACCCCTCTCTTAGTCATACATACTTTCCTATAAATAAAGACAGAAAGCCCTAAAATAAATAAATACAAAAGAAAACAACAACAAATGGCATCAGTTAATTTTTATTTGCCTTGGTAATGCAAGTGCAGCTGCTAAAAACTCTTTACAAAAAATAATCTAAGCAGGAAGTTGTTATTTTGCTCATCTATCATGTGACAAATGCAGGAAGTGAAAATTTGACTCACCAGTCGCCATGCATGACAGTTACAGAAGGAGAATCTTTTTTAAGCATGTCTCAATACACTGTCAAAGTTCTCACACATGCGATTAGATCTTTTACTCTAAATATAGGCCTACATATATCTGAAGTCCAGGAAAATACATTGAAATCATGTAACATGACAACACATGCTTGCTGAGATTTGTTTTATCATAACCTCTGGATCGCATGACTCCCAGGGTAAGGCGGGGAAGTTCTGGTAATTTCATAGTATGTGGAAAAACAAGCACTAGAAATGCTGATCGTAATGCGTTGCATTTCTCATCTTAGACTTGAAGATAGAAGTCACATACTTTCGCATTTCCAGTGTACAAATTATCTCTTGAATCCTTCAAGACAAAGTGAATGTAAGAGATCTTAAAGCCCTCTATTTCCATTCTGACCGAATTCCTATATTATACAGTACACATCCAGTGCTCTTCCTATCAGTTCTTGTTTGTTTCTTCATCTTCCTCATCTTCACTACTGCTGGATTCCCCAAACAGGTCTTTTCCACAAGCAGTGCTGGATTTTGTGTGTGCATCTCGTTTGCTGACCGTCATGGAGATTAGAGTAGACATGTCACTAAAGCCCAAAAGCAGTGTGCTGTTGTCAGGTCCATGCAGAGAGATGGTCTGGATCTTAGAGTCAGGTGTGAAGACAGACAACATCGTACCATTGTCCAGGTCCCACATGCTCACTGCTACTGTTCAACAAATAATTCAAAGGATTGAACGATGCATCCCGTATACATTTTTATCTCATTTTAGTATCTCAGACCCAAACACAAAAAATGATTAATCTTACTGTGAAGGTGCAAAGACCCTATTCTAAGACATCACCTCCACATCCCATGCTAAACTTTAAAGATTACCAAAATCTGAATCTTAATCTTGACCTAGATTAAACTGATATCATCTAGAACAAGTCAACACAAGTATGAGCAAAGGTCTCCTGTACCTGATAATAAAATAGCCTTGGATTGTCCTTCAGTGATAAAGAGCAAGCTGGACCAGTTAAGATTTAAACTTCCGTAGCCAGAGATGGTTTTATGTTTCCTTCGGAACGGCTCCCATACTTTTAACCTGAGTTTCAGGAAAAAAAAGTTTATTTTTTAAAGAATGTTTTAAGATAAATGCAACAATAACCCATGTTCTTAAGAGCTACATGTATATAAAAATTGAAATATACATACATATCTATGTACACTACTGGTCAAAAGTTTGGAATGATTAAGATTTGACACGTTGTCATTTTAAAATATATTAAAATAGAAAACAGTTCTTTAAATTGAAATAATATTTCACAATATTACAGTTTTACTGTATTTGTGATCAATTAAAACCAGCCTTGGTGAACTTTTGATGACTTTTTTTTTTAAAACATTAAACATTAAAATAACTATTATATTCTTTTTATTAATAATTCCAAACTTTTGACCTATAGTGTATATAAAAAAAAAAGCTATGATATAAGTGAACAGGTTTTGAACATTGCAATTGGGGTGGCACATACTTGTTGAATCCTGCAATGCCGAAAACCACTCTGCAGGCATCGTTGCTTATTGCAATGCAACAGATTCCAGGTTCATTTTTCAATCTCTTTCGCACCTTTACATATATAAGGAACATTCATCTTACAGAATATACAGAGAAGATGGATTAAGATGAATTATCTTAAAATAAATACTTATTAAATGTAAAGATTTAACTGTTAGGCCTGAAGTGAGCAATGTGCCCACTTCTTTTTGATTAATAATAACATGACTGAAAAAAATGTTAGCCATTTTTAAACAGATTTGCATACTCTGCCCTGCTGTGTGTCCCAAACGGTGAGGTATGGAGCATGCTGGGCCTCACTGTAGTTGGAGACCACCAAGTACCCTCCAGTGTGAGTGATCGCGGCAGTACGGAGGCTCAAATGGGACCAGCGGTCCTCCAGGGTGTGCAGATGCTCCTCAGAAACCACACTGAAGACGTTGAGATGATGGGCAAAATATGAGCATATGACCACCTAAGTGATACACAGAGAAAAGTGAGAGAGATTCAAAGATGGAATCGATGCATTTCAGTTCAGTTCACAACCATGTAGATCACATATGGTTTATTATTTCATAATTCAGGAAAGAGTAGTGGTTTTGTTTATTGGTCAACTGTCTTTCTACCCGCTCATCACCGCTGAGAAGATACTGGTCTACAGAGTTGAATTTCTCTTTTTCGAGGCGCTGCTGTTCATCTTTTTCTCTCTTCACCTCACGGTCCTGTCGCCTCCTTTTTGCCGTCTGGGTTTCGGTGCGCCTGTCCCATGGCATTACTAGACCTGTGAAACAAGTTTAGATTTAGGATTGTTTTTTTTTAATGTTGAATATGGTATGAAAATCTACGTGGGACTGAGACGTTGTATAAATGCAATGGTAAAGTCAAGTATCATTTACATTTTAATACCTATCTTTTCTTTTGAGGACATAATTTGGGAATCTCTGTCCATGCTGGAGAGTAGGTTTTCTTTGTAGGACGTCTTGATACGTCCTTTAATGTAGCCAGAGTCCAGATCCCACAATATCAGATGATCCCTACATGCCATATCCATGCAACCTCATGAAAATTACTCAATCCAGACTAAGCAATATAGTAATTTTCTGTTTCTGCTGAATGAGGAAGTGAGCTCTTACCGTGTTTCTGAAAGGCCCAGCAGTATTTCACCATCTAAGAGCCGATAGTCTTGTCGAGGACAGGGCACGATGAACAGTCCAGTCTGTTTCTTAATGTAGCTCTTTTTAAGAAGGTCATACACCAGCAATGTCTACAGAAAAAAAGTGCAACAGGAAACAGTTTGCAGGGCAGTAAAATGTCATATATAACTCTTAAGTACAAAACAAATTTTTGCAGGTCATAACTTAAATCTTTCCTTCTATGTTGTTATTTTTTAACTAAAACTATTAAAAATTGGTTTTGTTAAATGGTATAAAGTGTAATTAATAGATGAGTAAAAACTTTTTTTAGGTTTATGTAATAAAAGTACTAAAACTGAAATAAAAATGCCAAATTGAAATATTAAAAAAATAAGAACAATAAAAACAAAAATATATAAAAATAAAAGCTAATCCAAAATATTAACAAATACTATATGTTATTAAAATAACACTGCTTTCCTCATTTTTGTTTATTTGTCCCCTTTTTATGTATTTATTTATTTACATTTTACTGATTTGATTGATTTACTGAAAAATGACACTGATCATTAATAGCTAATGATCTATTTTAGTGTTAACTGTATTTGAACAACACAATGGTCCTTCATCCTTGTGAAGAGGCATCTCATGAGTCACCAAAAAAGTGAGCGGAAGCCTTGTGTTTTAATTAATTGGAGACATTGCTGAAGTTGGACTTGATGCAAGTGTGAGCATGGTTGATAAGCATAAACAACTATACTCAAATGTCAAACAACTATACAATCAGCTTCAGTTTCAGGTGACAGATCTCAGGACAGGGGTTTCAGACCAGCATAAATATGGGTCCCGTATAATACCTATAGTCTGTGCGGTGCACAGAAGTACCTGGTAGACAGATGTAGGTGTATCGGAGAAGTTGGCGGTTCTGCGGTCAGACAGTATATAGAGTTTCAGGTCTCGTACAAGAGCGATGTCTGAACTGGAGAACAGGCCATGCTCCACCTGCACAGGACGACCCTTGAATCGCGTCCGCGCCACATTCCAGATTCTCACAGTCCCAGGACGGGTGCTTTGACACACTACATACCTGATTCAGAGGGAATTTTTAAAACTTTCCACCAAAAATAGCTTTCTTTTTGTACATATAACAGTGACAGACATATTTGATTAAATTCATGGCTTTTGGGTATAAACAAACTTTAGATTCATGTATTTGAATTCATTTGGATAACACAGTTTTAACATAAACTAAGAAACTTAATGTGATGAATATTTGTCATCAATATTTGTACATAAATGAAACGGGTAACTCAAAAAATCATGGCAAAGTTTATTATTAACTTTGCATCTATTTGATTTCACGTAAATAATCATTTTCAAAATGCATTTATTGAAATAGTTTAGAATAAGCATAAATCTGTTAATTGTGTGAAAATAATTTAATTCATTCAGTTAAAAATATGAACATGGTTCCAAAAATTTCTAGCTGTGGAACAAGAAATATTCATTTAGTTAAAATGTATAAGATTAGAACAAATTTACTGATTA